ATATACATAATGATACGATTTAATATCGATCGATACTTAAGAAGAAACCATACAACTACAATAAAATTGATAGAGAAAGGAACTGCTATAATTCATATAAAAAAAAAGGAAACAATACTAATCTCTGAGTATACAGAATTTTTGCGACTATATATTTATATAGATTCGGATCACAATTCTCTAAAATATACCTTTGGTATCGCATTTACAAAGTTTGGAAGCACAACACGCTCGTGTAGAGAGCGATCAGCCAAGATTGATGATCCCTTTCCTTGTAAACACTCAACCTGCATGTGCTCCGCAAAAATAAGTTAATCAAGAGGAGTCGACGAGAGAATTCTTAATCTTGCACTTTCGATTTCACCTCAGATTTATCTCTGCGACTTAATTTCGCTTCATTCCTCTAAATTATGCCTGTAAACACACTAAATGGTGTTAACGTGCAGCAAACCCAACACAAAATATTGCAGCAATGTTGTAATATTGCTGCAATGTTGTAATATTGCCGCAATATTGCTGAAATGTTGTAATATTGCTGCAATATTGCTGCTATATTTTGTGTTTGCTGGGTCAGCTTGGCATCCTCCCCAGCAAACAGAATATTGCAACAACATTGCTGCAATGTTGTAATATTGCCGTAATATTGCTGCTATATTTTGTGTTTGCTGGGTCAGCTTGGCATCCTCCCCAGCAAACACAGAATATTGCAACAACATTGCTGCAACGTTGTAATATTGCCGTAATATTGCTGCTATATTTTGTGTTTGCTGGGTCAGTTTGGCATCCTCCCCAGCAAACACAGAATATCGCAGCAACATTGCTGCAATGTTATAATATTGCCGTAATATTGCTGCAATATACTGTATCTGCTGGATCTCAGAGTACAAAAAGCTTAAAAAAATTACACGCAAGGTGATTAAGTAAAGAACATCACGAAGAGATGTTCGTGAGCTAAAACGTTATACAAGACTTTGAAAAGCAACAAATAAGGAAATTTCGAGTCTATCGATATGCAGTGTTTCGTCCCAGCAAACACAGAATATTGCAGCAACATTGCTGCAATGTTGTAATATTGCCGCAATATTGCTGTAATATTCTGTATTTGCTGGGGTTTAAGACCCATCTAGCACAGAACATTGCAGTAATATTGTGGCAATATTGCAATGTTGCTGCAATGTTACAACAATATTAATAATATTGCTGCAATATTCTGTACTGTATGGGGGAAACTAGAGAATATACAGGATATATATCATATATATATAAAATTGCTGACTTCCTTCCAACATGCTTGGCGAAACAAGTGTATTTTCCCTTTGAAGATACACGTGATACGCAATATAACAATTTTTTCAATTTTTCTCCTCTTTCTAAAGTGTAGCTCGTTTTCCAACGAGTCTCATTGTCGCATATTCTTGCAATCAATTATCGATATAGCCGTTTGCGAGTTTTACCCTCAAAGACTATGTTGTTATGGCCACATGTTACTTCATGCATACATCCCAACAAGTAACAGTTATATAACTGTTACTTGTAATTTCTCACTCAATATAACTGTTACATGTTATGTAACTGTTAGATAAACTGTTAGATAACTGTTAGATAACTGTTAGATAACATGTTATGTAACTGTTACATAACATGTAACAGTTATATAACAGTTACATAACATGTTATGTCATCGTTATGTAATTGTTAGTTGTAATTTCCTACTCAATATAACTGTTATATAACATGTAACAGTTATATTGCCAAGTGGGAAATTACAACTAAGTTATATAAATGTTACTTGATGTTTGCTGGGATTATTTTATTAATGTATCAGGAATTATTATTTTACTCGGTGGTCTCGGAGATGAACGGCATTGTTTTTTTTTTTATAATCAGCCAGAAAATATGTTAAATATACGACTATGATCATATCATTCGAAATACGCGTTAACAGCTAATTGTGCAGACTAGCAAAGGGGAGCGCAAACATAGAGACATTTTGCTACGTATATACTTTGGCAAGAGATACGATCATCACATCACGATGCCATCGTTTTAATCGCAATATCTAGAGGACGCCGTTATAAAGAGAGAGTATTCTCTTTTCTTTTTTTCCTTCCTTTAACATTCGGACACAAATTGAGTAGGCATTTCTGTTCTTTTAATTTGGCATTAGGCAGTCAATACGACAACTACGTCGCGCAAACAGTATCATCTATTATACTGTTGCTTTTTTTTTGTCAAATCAAAAAAGAAAGAAATCAAAAATCTATCACGATTTACGTTATTCACAAAAAGTCTCTTAATTCTTTCAAAGAACACAGCCATATACAATGCGTTAAGTTTAAGAGTTTTAATGCATAATTATGCTGAGATAAAAAATTTGCTTGTCAGCTAGCTTTACATGTTTTGTCAAATGTGTATCAGTTAAAAAAAAACAATAATTATATACTCATATATTTAAATCAAATACATTGCACAAATATAAAGTCAATTTTATATTAATTAAATTTTTTATTTTTTTATTTTTTAACATTTAATTTTTTAATATTTTTTAATATTTAATTTTTTAATATTTAATTTTTTATTTTTTAATATTAGTAAATATATTTACTAATATATATTAAATATTTATATATACTTTGTATAATAAAATATAGTATTGTATCATGGCAAATAGTTCATGATGATTCTCTCGAAAAGATTAAAGAGACTCTTTATTCGTTCTATAATGATTTTGCATTATCTTACTTCAAGATGTTTCTGATATAAATCTTAGAAGAATCGATATAAGAACTAAATAAACAAATAATACGCAAAATGAGTCGTTTGAACAAACGGAAGAAATTTTTCTATAAAATAAGTATATATAGTATATGTAAATTCTTGTTTATGTTAATCTGCCATAGAAAAATCGCAATCGTCCTCGTCTTTTAAGGAAGCAAAATTTACGTAAAACTGATATGCACTAACGTGAATATAATGAGAAAATTAAATCTAAGAAAATAAAAATGTATTTTTAATCGATAGACTTTTAAAAGAGAGTATTTTCTCTGTAAAAGGAGACAAAAGATACTTTATCAAATAAGACGCAAAAATATTTCAGAGAAAGCCAAATATTAAAATAGGATTATAATCGATGATGACTCACTGGCAATGAGCAATCTTTAAAAATATTTTTTTATATACTTATTTCATTATTATCTCCATAATTTTCGTTTATTCATTAAATTTCCAATCTAAAATATTTTTTGCCTGTATCACAGACTTCTTCAGCAATAATGCTTCTTCTAGAATATCTGCGCATCTTTTTAATCTTATATAGCGCGTTTCATATCTCAAATTTCGGATTTCAATATAATAGGTTTCCGAATTTATTTTTTCAACATAACAATGTTTCAATATTGTTATCACAAAACTATTCTTTCATCCTTTATTTTTACATATGTTCTCGCAAAATTGCATTAAACTTATTTTACTCTTTATATTAACATAAATAAAAAATGCAAGTCAATCAGGATTAAATAATTATTAACAATTTAAAAAAAACCTAGATTTCTAAGAGTTCTTATTTGACGTCATAATTCGAGATAATCGTAGAGGCCAAAAATTAAAAGAAAATAGAATCAGCTTTAGCATTCTATGGCAGTAGAATTTCCGAATTTCATCTTATAAACACCGAAATCTGGAATTTGTAATAACATAATAATGTATATGCAGGATATGCTGTATAATCAGTTATCTCATTAACAAGTATTGAAACAATAAAAAATATTTAGATGGTTGATGGAAAGAAAGGATACGTTATGTTTTTGCTGACTGTTTCTAAAATAAAATTATTGGTGAAATTTAGATATATAATTTTTTTATTTATGAAAAAGATTTTTGTAGAATGTCAGGAATATTTCAAGATTACTCGAAAAGATATTTTTCTTCATCGTGACATCAATGATATAAATTAGCAAAGAAGGAAAAATATATATACAGAGTGTCCCAAAAGTCTCGGACCGGTCGAATATTTCATAAACTATGCACTTTAGAAAGAAATGTTTCAGATAAAAGTTGTATGGCTTGAAGGGGACCATCAGATAGTGGCAATGATTTGACATGGGAGAGTCATTTGAAAGTCACGTGAAGATCACCGTCAATTTCTTAAATGGAACCCCCTATTTTTTATTACATATTCTTATAGGTCATCTCGAGAGCTTTCCAAAACACTATAATTAAATATTTTTTCCTTAAGTGCTTTTCGAGTTATGAGGCTTGAAGTCATTTTTTAATTTTTTAATTTTAAATCTTAAAATATCTTGTAAAATATTCATTTTTCGATTATCTTACCTTTATACTTTTATGTACAAAATAATGAGAGAAATCAATTGGTGTAATGAAAATATACAGTTGTTTTTAAGAAAAAATATGGAATTGTTAATTGCAAATTACATATCAATATCTTTTCTTAGAAACAACTATGTGTTTTCTTTACATCAATTGATTCCTTTTATTATTTTGTACATAAAAGTATTAAGGTAAGATAATGGAAAAATGAATATTTTACTAGATATTTTATGGTTTATGCAAAATTAAGAAATGATTTCAAGCCTCATAACTCGAAAAGTACTCAATGAAGAAATATTTTTACTTTATTATAGTGTTTTGGAAAGCTCTCGAGATAAGCTATACGAATATGTAATAAAAAATAGGGAGTTCCATTTAAGAAATTGAAGGTGACCTTTACCTCTCCAAGGTAAAATCATTGTCACTATCTGATGGCCCCCTTCAAGCCATACAACTTTTGTCTGAAACATTTTTTTCTAAAGTGCATAGTTTATGAAATATTCGACCGGTCCGAGACTTTTGGGACACTCTGTATATATATATTTGTCATTTGATAAAAATCTCAAGGATTTTGAGAGCTAATAAATTAATTCCTTTTAAAAAACAAAATTATTCTTTCTCTTTCATGCCATCAAACCATCTTTAAAAATTTTTTCGATATTTCGCATATCGAAATATTAAATTGTAACAATTGATTATTGATTAATTGATTGCACATCCTTGTTTGTATATAAGCGTAACATGCAACTCAAGTAAAAAAAAACTGGCGCGATTAAATTTTGCAATAAAATTGTTCTTTGTTCGAGGACAAATAACAATTTCATATTTTTGGATAAGAGAGCAACAAAATTGCTTTAACATATTGTTATTCTATTATGAGATACTAAAATATCTTAAATAAGAGATTTTGAGATATCTTTAATTTACATTGATAGAGATTAGTAAATATTAACTTTAAATAAAAGTAAAAAATAATAACTTGATCATCTTTGAAACCATATTTTCGCTAAATAAAATTTAAATTTGCTGAGATATCTCCAAATCTCGTTATTTAAAGACATCTCGGTATTGAATTGAATAGCGTATTGTCATAAAAAATATGTCATTGATAGAAAATTTTAATATATAATAGCATTCCCATAACCAACGAACTTTCTATAAATGGACATATTTGTTCTAATTACTTGTGATATGTCGACAAATGAATATATGATTTCTATAATCTGTGTTGCTGCGATAATAATAATATTCATCGAGAGATAATTATATATTATCTAAACAAAAGCACATAAATTATATTTTATACCATAATTTCATTTCAAGACGTACATGCATCATATAAATTCCCTTAGACATAATGTACGCTTATCACACACAACTATATATTTTGCATGACGTAAAAATATTCCAAATGTTTAAATATCTTTTATCGCTATTATCAAATAATGGAATGAATGTAATGTACATCTCGAATATATTGGAATTTGCAATATTCGCTAAAATCTAATTCTTATTAAGCAGTCTTAAAAAGTTGATGGTTATTGGGTCTGCGTATAAAATGAGTCAAATATTAGCGTTTATCGTTGATGATATAGAATATGTAAGTAAATTGCTAAAAGCCTTTATGTTATAACGACGGAAATCTAGATTTATGTAGCATTCAATGTCTGCTGCTGTGGATTATATTCCAATAACGCTATCGGAAATGTCTTGATGTGTGTTTGCCATTGCGCTGATAGTTGGAAGAATTTTACACCATACCACTCGGTACCGTCAATGCTCACTGTAGCAGGAATAATTACCACCACTAAGCGATTAATATGAAATTAAATCTAGATTAATTGCACTTAAATATTTTATTTAATAATAATAATATTTTATTTAATAATATTAATAATAATAAAATTAATAATAAAAAATAACAAGAAACGATTCTGAAATCCAGGTGTTCATTATATCATGTACTCGACAAAAATATAAGAATTAAAAATCCTGAAGATTTATCAATATGAGAATCTTTTACCTCTTAATGGAATGTTATGTGTTTTTGCAGAACATATAAGACGCGTCACGCCATCCACTGTTTGACTCTTTGGCTCGTTTTCCTTTTCCTTTTCCTTCTTTTTACCCAATCTCATTACTAAAACATTTTTTCAGTAAGTCTCTACTCCTGTATCTTACATACAGGGTGGACCAAAAGTCAAATACAGTCGAATATCTCGTATAAAATGCATTTTAGAACAAAATGCCTTAGACAAAAGTTGTAAGGATTAAAAAGATGTATTTAACTGTAATATCCATTTGACATTGAGTGGCGTCGCCATGGTCAGGGCAAGGTCAACCTGAATTTTTTAAATGGAACCTCCCATTTTTCATTGCATATTCTTGTAGCTTATCTCGAGAGCTTTCCAAAACACTATAATAAAATATTTCTTCATTGAATACTTTTCGAGTTACGAGGCTTGAAGTAATTTCTTAATTTTACATAAACCATAAAATATCGTAAAATATTCATTTTTCGATTATCTTACCTTAATACTTTTATGTACAAAATAATGAAAGGAATCAATTGGTGTAAAGAAAACACATAATTGTTTCGAAGAAAAAATATGTAATTTGTAATTAACAATTACATTTTTTTTTCGAAACAACTATGTGTTTTCTTTACATCAATTGATTCCTCTCATTATTTTACACATAAAAGTATAGAGGTAAGATAATCGAAAAATGAGTATTTTACTAGATATTTTACTAGATATAGAAATTACTTCAAGCCTCGTAACTCGAAAAGTATTCAATGAAGAAATACTTTTTTATAGTGTTTTAGAAAGCTCTCGAGGTAAGCTACAAGAATATGCAATGAAAGATATGGGGTTCCGTTTAAAAAATTCAAGTTGACCTTGCCCTGACCTTGGCGACGCCACTCAATGTCAAATAGATATTACAGTTAAGTACATCTTTTTAATCCTTACAACTTTTGTCTAAAGTATTTTGTTCTAAAATGCATTCGACTGTATCCAGACTTTTGGTCCACCCTGTATATTCTAATTACAATGTGAAAAAAATTTATCTTATTCGTTCTTTTTGAAATACGTAGATTAACATTCTTACTTTTCTGCTTCTTCTCTTTTGTTGTATAATTCATACACAAGTGATGTCCCGGAGCTTCGCCCAACGAAGGAAGTCTTTGTACGTGCAACGCTCTGAAAGCTTGACGTAACGTGCTCTTTCCCTTTTCACCTTGCGTCTGTTTACCCCAATAATCCAGCTGAAGTTCGACTGGTTCCCATCCTTCTCTCGCTGGCTGGCCTACGTTAGGACTGCTGGGTGGTGTCAACTTTCCAGGAGGTGGAACCGGCAAAGTCGGCGGAGGCAAGGAAGGTGGAGAACCAGACATACTGACATTGCTCTCCTCCAGATCGACCGATGCGGAAGAACTGCTGTCCGGACAACCCACGCGGACGTCGTTTATGAAGGGAATGAAGATTTGACTGCTGTCGTCCGTTTCCCTACGAATGAGATTCATCTCTTTTCACTGTCATCATTGTTCAAGATTGATTAAGAGAAATTTTTAAATCAATCACCTGTATGTAACCATAGCTTCCGCTATAGGTAACAATAGAACTGTACTCGCTGTGGCTAGATATTCCGATACTCGCGCTGCGCCTTCAATCGAGCCGCCACCTTCCCTCTCCAAAAGCTCTTTCCACTCGTCCCCAAAGAGCATCGAATACTTGGAATCGATGGAACTGAGATACCTGGTTAACGTATTCGAACCTAGTGGCACCACCAGAAATTTCATGTAGTTTTGCCAATCCGGCGATCTGAAGCTCAGCAGATCAACGTAGTGACGGAGAACTGCGTTTATGAAACTGTCCCCTCCGGCGATGACTACCTTTATAGGTGCCGGTGGTTTCGCAGAACTGTTGCAGCTGAATATAAAGACAGATTTAGCGAATTTTTCTTAAATATTATTTATTTTCTAGCAAGATGAATGCTCTTTTATATACAGGGTGTTCCATTTTAACTTTGCCGATCAAAATATCTCGTAAAGTCTAAAAGATACGAAAAAATGTTTCAAATAAAAGTTGTAGGATTTCGAGAGGGACATCTGATGGTGACTTCGACTTTGACCTAGAGGCCGAATTTAGCGGTTATTTAAAGGTCAACTTAATTTTTTAAATGGAACCCCCTATTTTTTATTACATATTCTTATAGGTCATCTCGAGAGCTTTCCAAAACACTATAATTAAGTTAGTTTTCATTAAGTACTTTTCGAGTTATGAGGCTTGAAATCATTTCTTAATTTTACATAAACCATAAATATCTTGTAAAATATTCATTTTTCGATTATCTTACCTTAATACTTTTATGTACAAAATAATGAGAGAAATCAATTGGTGTAAAGAAAACATATAGTTGTTTTCGAAGAAAAGATATGTAATTCACAATTATCATTTACATATTTTTTCTTAAAAATAACTATGTAGTTTCTTTACACCAATTGATTCCTCTCATTATTTTGTACGTAAAAGTATTAAGGTAAAATAATCAAAAAATGAAATTTTACAAGATATTTTACGGTTTATGTAAAATTAGAAAATGATTTCAACCCCCCATTTTTATTGTTCATTTTTAAGGTTTATGTTTTGGAAAGCTCTCGAAAACTTTCCAAAACATTATAATAAAGTATTTTAATTTTATATACACTATAAAATATCTCGTAAAATATTTATTTTTCGATGATCTTACCTCAATATTTTTATACACAAAATAATGAGAGGAATCAATTGATATAAAAAAACATGTAGTTGTTTTTAAGAAAAAATATGTAATTTGTAATAAAAGCAGCTACATATTTTTCTTAAAAACAACTACATGTTTTCTTTACGTTAATTGATTCCTCTCATTTTTTTGTGCATAAAAGTATTGAGGTAAAATCATCGAAAAATAAATATTTTACAAAATATTTTATAGTTTATATGAAATTAAGAATTATTTCAAGCCTCATAACTCGAAAAGTGCTTAATAAAAAATATTTCATTACAGTGTTTTGGAAAGCTATTGAAAGCTTTTGAAATAAGCTATAAAAGTATCATAAAAAGGTACCATAAAAAGTACCATAAAAAAGGGGGAGATTCCATATAAAGAAATTCAACTTGATCTTCTGACGATGTCTCCAAGATCAAACTGATAAGATTAATAAATGGATCTTTTTAAACCCTACAAATTTTATATGAAAAATTTTTTTGTAAAATGCTCCCTTTCCAAAATATTAGACCGTTTCGAGACTTTTCGCGCACCCTGTATATATTTGATCTATAAAATATTTTATGTTCTCAAATATGAATTTAAAATATGACACACAAAAGGATTCATTTTAATATACAGTACGGAAAAAATTCATATTTTAAAAAAGCAATAGAGTTAGAAATCTTAAAAGAATTACAATTTTTGTATTCGCGTAACCAAGCATGTGAATGTTGCACGGATGTCAGCCGGGGAGACGGTTGTCAGGACCCTGTGGTTTCTCTCTTGCAACCTCGCGGCAAGGACCGCACCACCAGGATCTGCTATTGATACGAGCGACACAGCCTCCGGTAAACTATCATCTGGCAATATACGACCAAGTTGCTCGACTAAAGCTTTTCTCGGCTGAAATTAATAAACATGATCTTACAATTATATCAGCTCTCGGGTCTTTCAAACAAATAATTTGTTTAATAATCTGGATCCCTCATTGGGATTCAGAATATTAAATAGATTTTTCTTCATTGAATATACATATTTTTTTAAATTAATTTATAGAACATTTTATTTCATATTTTATTTTTGTTTTTCTGTACATTATTTCGATATATTTTTTGCATACACATATATATAAATGGAGCTTAACAATTTTTAAATAAAAATATATAATAAATTCTAATAATATAATAATAAAAAATATAATAATATAATAATAAATAAATAAAAATATAAAAATATAATAATAAATAAATAATAAATTTCTATAATAAATTCTTAATGTTTGTTCTTTTATATCATTGTAAGAGTATAGAAAAACATAAATTAAAAAACTTGATATAAAAGTTTGCAATAATTTTATTCAAGATAAAACATATAAAGTCATATCTAAATATATATAACATATAAAGTCATATCTAAATATATATATTTAAATATGAGTTTACAATATATTATTTTAAATAACATCATTGGAAGAAATAGTTTTTGATAGATGAATCTTGAAAGTTTATAAAAACATAAAATAAAAAATTTTGATATAATATTTGATATATATTTAAATATAATAAAATCTAAATATACATATTTAAATATGACTTTACAATATATTATCTTGAATACAATCATTACAAATTTTTATTAATATCTAGATTTTTTATTTTATATGTTTTTTATAAACTTCCAAGATTCATGTATCAAGAATTATTTCGAGAAAATGTTTTATAGCAATACTGCTACATGATTGCAGCAGCATTGTATTTTTTCAAATATATTACATTGCAATATTGCTGCGACATTTCGTTGTAATATTACAAAAAGTGGACATCTTAACGTTGCTGCAACTTTACAGCAATGTTGCAGCCAAGTTTCAGAATCGATTTGCAATATTGCAATGTTTCAATGAAATCATTCTGCAATATACAGGGTTAGGAAAAAGTCTGGATATCCCTTAATATTTCGAAAAATATGCATTAAAAAAAAATGTTTCATACAAAAGTTATAGGGTTTTATGTGGCGCATTACACAGCAACATTATTATGACTTCGAATAGCGTTGTTAAGATTATGTGAAGGTCAGCTTCAATTTTTTAAATGGAACCTCCTATTTTTCATTGCATATTCTTGTAGCTTACCTCGAAAGCTTTCCAAAACACTATAATAAATTATTTTTTCATCAAGTACTTTTCGAGTTACGAGGCTTGAAATCATTTCTTAATTTTACATAAACCGTAAAATATTCATCTTTCGATTATCTTACCTTAATACTCCTTATTATTCTACTTTATTATCCTACTCCTAATTATCCTACCTTAATACTTTTATGTACAAAATAATGAGAGGAATCAATTAGTGTAAAGAAAGCACATAGTTGTTTCTGAGAAAAAGAAAAAATATGTAATTTACAATTAACAATTCCATATTTTTATATTTCCATATTTTTCCATAAAAGTATTAAGGTAAGATAATTGAAAAATGAATATTTTACAAGATATTTTATGATTTATGTAAAATTAAGAAATGATTTCAAGCCTCATAATTCGAAAAGTACTTCATGGAAAAATAATTTATTATAGTGTTTTGGAAAGCTCTCGAGACAAGCTACAAAAATATATAATAAAAAGTAGGGGGTTCCATTTAAAAAATTCAAAGTGATTTTTATGTGACCTTGACGGTGCTATTCAAAGTTATACTGATATTGCTATGTAATGCGCCACATAAAACCCTATAACTTTTGTATGAAACATTTTTTTTAAATGCGTATTTTTTCGAAATATTAGGGGATATCCAGACTTTTCCCCAACTCTATATTTGCAATCTTTCTGTGCTGTATGGGAAGAGGAGAAGTGGATGCGAGAAATTAACGATGATCAAATGAACATCCCGATGATGTGCCTAACATGATGCGATAAGACGACGCACAAAGAGCTCGTTATTAGCCGTCATTACCTCTGTGCTATTTAAATCAGCCGAGGGTTTCAGATCAACGCTCAGACTGTGCTTCTTGGATTTATTACTCCCCGGCGTTCCTCTGTCTGTGCGTGCGAAGAGTCTGCTTCTTCTCTCGGAACCCTCGCTCTTGTTAGGCTGCTCGGATTTCGGCGGTGAACCCGCTACGTAATTCGGCGGATCGTTCGCTTCGTGATCCGTCCAGTTCTCAGGATGGGAATCGCTGTCGGCTCTTCGAGAACTGTCATCGCTCTGCCTGTCCACTCCACGCTCTGCAAAAAGATTTCGTTACTCTCTATCGGGATGCTATGTAGGGGAATATAATATAGAGACTGCGTCTCAAAATCACCGATACATTTAAAAGTCTCTCCCTCATCTCTTGGATACAAGCAAGCTTGCGATATTTTGATTTTATATCGAACACATATTGACCAAGTAAATTTGAAATTAAAATTAGATTATGTAAAGTGAAGAAGAACAAGACGTTTTATTTCGTAAAATTTCCTCTAAATCCTCAACTGTCACAATCAGCTGATTTTCAGTCAACATCAACGTTATTGATATCTGACGGATGCTGAGAACGTCTTTATTTTTTTGATAATTAATACTTGAATATCGGTGGTTTTGGAAGACCTTGCATAAGTATTCAAGTGGGATAAGAAAGTGTAAAGTGAAGAGAAGCACGACTAATGTGCTAAAATATTAAACTGCTCGAAAAGTGCACTAGTCGCCACATCTTCGTACCTGAAATTAAACACTTTCACATTGAATACATTATAAATAGATGCTCGTGAATTGTAATCGTTTTTCATTAATTAAAGTACCAAAAAATATATATATATATTTTTCTTTCGATTATCTTTTTAAATATTATATCTTTCCAGCAAACACCAAGTAACAGTTATATAGTTGTTAGTTATAATTTCCTACTCAACAATAATTGTTATTTAACACATAACAGTTATATAAGTTATATAACAGGTATGTAACAGTTATATAACAGTTATATTGTTAAGTAGGAAATTATAATTAACAATTATATAACTGTTACTTGGTGTTTGATGGGTTATTTTTTCGCTATGTATGTAACATATATGTTTAACTTTTCAAACACGTGCTAGAGAAGCACTTCGAATTCTAGATTCGACGCAGGAGGTGTCTAACTTTAGATGCGAAGGTATACACGTGGCGTCTTTTATATATATATATATATATATATATATATATATATATATATATATATACAGGATGTCCCATTTTAATCGATGACCCCGAATAACTTTTTTAATTTTGATTGTAGGAAAAAATGTTTCAGACAAAAGTTGTATGGCTTGAAGGGGGACATAAGATGGTGTTTTTAGTTTGACATTGAACAGTCACCTGAAAATCACATGAAGGCCACCTTCAATTTTTTTAATGGAACCCCCTATTTTTTATTACTTATTCTTGTAGCTTATCTCGAGAGCTTTTCAAAACACTATAATAAAGTATTTCTTCATTGAGTACTTTTCGAGTTATGAGGCTTGAAATCATCAAACAACGGCTTCAAACAACTTTTCAAGATAAAATCAATGATACCATCTTGATACAATCAAAATTAAAAAAGTTATTCGGTCATCGATTAAAATGGGACACCCTGTATATTGTATACATATATATATATATACAGGGTGTCACTTGACACTCATCATTTATATAGCAATATTCCTCGCGGAAAACTGAGTCGAAAAGTCCTGAAGTATTTTTTTCTATAATGAAAAAAAATTTGAAACCATTTTTTCTTTTAAACCATTTTTTTCTTTTAAACCATTTTTTTCTTTTTAACCATTTTTTTCTTCTATAATGCGAAAAACTTTATTTTGCATTAAAAATCATATTTTTTTCGTTAAAAGCGTTTCCTTAAAGAAAATTTCGTCAAGAAGGCTAAAGGTCGATGCTTATTGGCGCAACTTTACTTAATAATTACCGCTTTATTAAGCATTATAGAAAAAAATGGTTCAGGACTTTTCGACTCAGTTTTCCACGAGGAATATCGCTGTATAAATAGTCGGCGCCAATTAAGTGACACCCTGTATATTTTAATATTCGCGATAGATATGGCAACGGTTTCGCACACGCGGTGTCAAATTGAAATGAACGCCGAGAGATCGCGTAAATCGTACGTGATATTTGCTACGGGGTATTATTGCAAACGACATGTGAGATGGTGTGCAATTCGCAGCGTTATTAGAGAAAGCGGAGTATACATGACTAAGATTGACAGAGTAAAGGATACGTACGTATACGAGTAGATAGAGAGATACACAGGCCGGAGATCACAGATCGAAGTCTAATAAGATTACATACAAAGAGCCGCAAAAGAGAGAGACACGCAGCAGGGTGATTTGTAGAGGGGAACACACACAGGCTCTCGCATAAAATTACGGATACACGCATTATACGGTCTGCATCTTTCGATACCAATAGTGTATTCGGAAAAAAATTTTTTTTATATATACAGGGTGTCCCAAAGTCCCGGTCGAATATTTCATAAACTATGCACTTTAGAAAGAAATGTTTCAGACAAAAGTTGTATGGCTTGAAGGGGGCCATCAGATAGTGGCGATGATTTAACATGGGAGAGTCATTTGAAAGTCACGTGAAGATCACCGTCAATTTCTTAAATGGAACCCCCTATTTTTTATTACATATTCGTGTAGCTTATCTCGAGAGTTTTCCAAAACACTATAATAAAGTATTTTTTCATCAAGTACTTTTTGAGTTATGAGGCTTGAAATCATTTCTTAATTTTACGTAAAATATCTTGTGAAATATTCATTTTTCGATTATCTTATCTTAATAATTTTATGTACAAAATAATGAGAGGAATCAATTGGTGTAAAGAAAACACATAGTTGTTTTTAAAAAAAATGTAATTGTTAATTGCAAATTACATATTTTTTTCTTAAAAACAACTACGTTTTTTTTTTACACCAATTGATTCCTCTCATTATTTTGTAGCATAGTTTATGAAATATTCGACCGATCCGGGACTTTTGGGACACCCTGTATATATAGGAATAACTACAAGAAAATCAAATACTAATAGAAATATTTATTCACACTGAAAATAACTTGTAACAATACATCGATGGTCTTCGTAGACTTTTTTTTTAGCGAAATAATATTTATCTTTTCATCTTTTTTTCTTCAGAGAGAAAAAAGTAAGAATAATAGAAGGTACAAAATGACATGCTAAATATATAGATACGCGATATAAGAGAGTTAGAGGTAAAGGTGCTGGATTGAATTTTCTTTCTAGATACGTGAGAAACGTGCCACTTCGATTATTCTTGCATTTGGCTACATTAAAAAGATATGTTGCATTATTAGAGGAAAAAGTTAAGGTGTAATTTATATACAGGGTGGATCAATAATTCTGTCCACCTGGAATATCTCCGTTATTTTTAGAGATACAAAACTTTTGTACTTATAAAAGTTGTACGGTACTAACAATAAGAGGGTAATATGCTACTAATAATTTTTTTGTAGGTCGAGACCTTTCGGAGATTTCAAGATCATCTCCATTTTTCTAAATGGAATCCCCCATTTTTTATTATCTGTTCTTATAGTTTATCTCTGAGAGCTTTCCAAAACACTATAATAAAATATTTCTTCATTGAGTACTTTTTGAGTTATGAGGGTTGAAATCATTTTTTAATTTTACATAAACCATAAAATATCTAGTAAAATATTCATTTTTCGATTATTTTACCTTAATGCTTTTATATACAAAATAATGAGAGAAATTAATTGGTGTAAAGAAAACATACAGTTGTTTTTAAGAAAAAATATGAAATTGTTAATTGCAAATTACATATTTTTTTTAAAAAAAACAACTATTTTTTCCTTACAAAATTGATTTCCTTACCAATTGATTTCTCTCATCATTTTGTATATAAAAGTATTAAGGTAAGATAATAAAAAAATGAATATTTTACTAAATATTTTATGATTTATGTAAAATTAAGAAATGATTTCAAGCCTCATAACTCGAAAAGTACTCAATGAAGAAATATTTTATTATAGTGTTTTGGAAAGCTCTCGAGATAAGCTATAAGAATAGGAAATAAAAAGGGAGGGGATTCCATTTAAAAAAATGGAGATGATCTTGAAATCTCTGAAATGCCTCCACCTACAAAAAAATTATTAGTAGCATATTATAGCCCTCTTGGTATCGTACAACTTTTATAAGTACAAAATTTTTATACCTCTAAAAATAACGGAGATATTCCGGAGGTCAGAGTCATTGGTCCACCCTGTATATACCTATATATGTGTGTGTGTGTGTATGTGTGTGTGTGTGTGTGTATGTATAAATTACGTTGCTCGTGAAAATGTAAGTCGCGAAGCCACTTAATTACCAAATGTGATTGAAACACCAAGCTTCTGTTGATTAGCAAGGTCATTCATGCGCTGGAGTTTCTTCTCCAATCTACAAAATTGTCGTTGCTGAATTGCTTTCTCAACATTTTTCCCTCATATTTTATGTTACAAATATAAATTGCGTATAAAATATATATGTATAATTTTTAAAAAAATTTAAATCGTATCTTTCTTTCGGACGTATCTCGTACGTCCAGTTCGTAACTTGGAGAAACAAGGATTGAAATGTAACGATTATAGATAGCTCACTCAAAGAAACATTGGCGGATTATTACATTATCCTCAATGATATATATATATATATATCTTACGTTGCATGCTTTATTCACAAACGCAAGATACGTGCTGTTTGGTAAGAAGCGGAGTCCTTAGAACGTTCCAACTATTTTTCGTCCTCATAGGGTTTCAGGGAATTAATCGACATTTACATACCTGGAGTTGTGTGTCCGACACGGTGTTTCTCTCTAGCCGGATGACCCGAGGGCTGCTGACACGTGGTAGTCGCCGAGATAGTTCCAGTGTCCTCGCTGGTTACTACTATCGAATCGTAACATGCAACAGTGCAAAGCCAACCCACCAGACTTTCACTTAGTTCAGAAGATCTGTATCTGAGTAAGCTATGAAGTTCTTTTAAGGATCTAATTCTTAGACAAATCGACGATGGGCCTCTTAATTGTTCGTTCCAACTGAATTTATGACGTTTCAAAAACTCATACGAATCTCTTTCGTGCATTATATAGGGTGTCCCATTTTAAAGGACCCACTCAAATATCTCAGAAACACTGCGTTAAATCGAAAAATGTTTCAAACAAAAGTTGTGTGGCTTCAAGGGGACCATAAGATGGTGGCAAAAATTTGACCTTGGATAGTCATTTGAAGGTCACATAAAGATCATCTTCAATTTCTTAAATGGAACCTACTACTTTTCATTGCATATTCTTATAGCTTATCTCGAGAGCTTTCCAAAACACTATAATAAAGTATTTTTTCGTTAAGTACTTTTCGAGTTATGAGCTTGAAATCATTTCTTAATTTTACATAAATCGTAAAATATCTTGTCAAATATTCATTTTTTGATTATTACCTTAATACTTTTATGTACAAAATAATGAGAAGAATTAATTGGTATAAAGAAAACACATAATTGTTTCGAAGAAAAAATATGTAATTTGCAATTAACAATTCCATATTTTTTCTTAAAAATAAGTATGTAGTTTCTTCACATCAATCGATTTCTCACATTATTTTATGAATAAAAGTATTAAGGTAAAATAATCGAAAAATGAAATATTTTACTAGATATTTTATGATTTATGTAGAATTAAGAAATTATTCAAGTCTCATAACTCGAAAAGTATTTGATGAAAAAATACTTTATTATAGTGTTTTGGAAAGCTCTCGAGATAAGCTATAAGAATATGTAATGAAAAATAGTAGGTTCCATTTAAGAAATTGAAGGTGACCTTTAAATTACTGTCCAAGATCAAATTTTTGCCACCATTTTATGGCCCCCTTGAAGCCACACAACTTTTGTTTGAAACATTTTTCGATTTAACGCAGTGTTTCTGAGATATTTGAGTGAGTCCTTTAAAATCACCCTGTATATCGAAATAAATTCATTTCTTCGTACGTTTCATTGCTCATATTCGATACTACAATTTATTGAAATATATTGAAAACTTTTTTGGCTCTTTATAAATAAATCTACATATTTTATATTTCTAGCGAAAAAATTTTTTACAGCTAATTCAAGTTGATCAATATTTACACATTTATTAATTCATAAATTGAAAAAACTCTTTTGCATATTTAATAATAAAAAAATCTGTTTTATAATAGATGATATATAGAAAAAAAATGAATTTATTTTAATATATATTGCAAGAAAAAATTCAATCGTATTTTTCGTTTTTCACATCATAATACAATGGCAGTAATCTGGAGCCTTTTAATCGATCAAACAATTATGTTTGTCATCTAGCTTTCCCATCTTTCCTAAAATACCTTTAATAACAAAAATTCTTTAATAAGAAATTATATAAAATTATTATACGTATTCTTAAAAAACTTAAATAAAACTTAAATAAAGTTTTTTTGCACTCTCTTTATCCAAAAGAAATGTACGATTACACAAATAAAGAAAAAAAAGTTTAAAAAACCTTATTATTCTCTTTAAGAATTATATACCGGTTCTACTTATCATATAAAGGATCTCATTGAACAATAAGAAGTGCGATAAAAAATTTTATTCCTATACTTAAGTCTTAAAAAAAATGACTTGTATGCCAATACAAATCAATAAATGTATACACGCAAACATTTAATTGTTAGTTTCTTTTAATCCAAAATTCGCGTTTTTGAGTAATTCGTCAATAAAAACTTTAAACGAACCTGTAAAAAATATTTCAATTGCAACAGCCACATCATGCTGCCTCGCCAAAACATCAACAGCCTAGTCGAGTCGTGAATAATAAACGCATTTTTGGCAGTTATAAATCGTTCATTTTTATGGAATTTTTATCAGAATTATATAAAATATAAATTATTACTTTTCTAAAAAATATTTCGAATCTGCAAACTAATAAAAATGCAGGAACGCTAGTCTCCAACAATTTTCAGTTTTATCTCAATATTTACAACCGAAGCATACAAAAGACAAGCATATACATGATTATATTTTTTTACAATAAATATAAAAAATATATATTTATTTTAGCTATTTTTTTAACATCAAAACAAATATAGAGAAGAGATATATAATTTATAATTAACTTTTAGTAATCTTTTTATATAAAAAAATATTTCTTATTTTGCAAATATTATCAAATATAATAAAAAAGCAAAAATTTTTTTCGTCGTCAATTTTTTTTGTATAACGCGTTTTGTATAACATATCAAAAGTATCTATCTTTGGAGAGAAAATTTGTCAAAAAATCGAAGTAATTTTAAACTGGAAATATATCTTTGTTTAAAATTCCAATAAAATGACGTTCAACTGCGAAAGATGAGAATTTAATAGGTGTAATTGATAATCTAGAGCGGAAGCGAGTCGAATACGACGTGTTTGAAATGTAATGTATCTTTCAATCCTTACCGTATAATATTATATATGACTTAATAATACATTTGTTTAAACACCACCAGCCTTTAAACACGTTGCGTTATGCGTCAGTATTAAATCGCAACATCGGCAAACTAATTTCAAGAACGAATTGATAAAATACCTTTGCCATATGTCACACATGTCGCGCATTTCATTAGGATACGCGCGAATAATCGTATTATGCGCAATTACTTACCGGAATGAGGCGGAGCGAGAAGGGATCGACTGGAACTGAAAAACGGTCTTAGCGATGGCTTCGGTGTACTGCTAACAGACATAGTATCCAATTCCGGGCCGCTATCTGATAAGTCTTCTAATTCATCGAATAACTCTTCTATCTCCATATCACCGCCTGACAAGATAATGAATCATTTGAAATAGATAATTCATTTACTCCAAACACTGCTTCGATTTTATCCATTTAATATTTTCTACAAAATTTTTTAGCACACTGCACACTTGAATGTATAGGAATTTGAAAAGTCCTGGATCTCTTATATCTCAATTTTTTTCATATAATATACAGGGTGAGGAAAAAGTATGGGAACCCCTAAATTTTTCGAAAACTATGCGTTTTAGAAACAAATGTTTCAGACAAAAGTTGTAAGGTTTCAAGTAATGCGTTACGTAGCAATATCAGTATAATCTTGAATAGCACCGTCAAGGTCACATAAAAATCACTTTGAATTTTTTAAATGGAACCCCCTACTTTTTATTATGTATTCTTGTAGCTTGTTTCAAGAGCTTTCCAAAACACTATAATAAAATATTTTTTCAGTGAGTACTTTTCAAGTTATAAGGCTCGAAATAATTTCTTAATTTTACATAAACCATAAACAATAAAATATTTTTTCTTCAAAACTATGTTTTTTCTTTACACCAATTGATTCTTCACATTATCTTATGCATAAAAGTATGAAGGTGAGATAATAAAAAAATGAATATTTTATTAAATATTTTATGGTTTATGTAAAATTAAGAAATGATTTCAAGTCGCATAACTCGAAAAGTACTCAATGAAAAAACACTTTAATATAGTGTTTTGGAAAGCTCTTGAAACAAGCTATAAGAATGTGTAATAAAAAATAGGGGGTTCCATTTAAAAAATTCGAACTGATTTTTATGTGACCTTGACGGTGCTGTTCAAGGTCATACTGATATTGCTACATAACGCGTTACTTGAAACCCTACAACTTTTGTCTGAAACATTTGTTTGTAAAATGCATAGTTTTCGAAAAATTTAAAGGTTTCCATGCTTTTTCCTCATTCTGTATATTATACAGACACACACCTGAAAGTTTTTGCCCGATTTCTTCTTGATCGTGCTCCAACTCCTCGGATACCCTAAATCGCTTCAGCAGAGCTATAAACTTTTGTTTCAAATTTCTTTGCTGCAAAACACGATAACGTCGTTATATTTCCGATATAATCGCAATGATGAGCGAAGAGATCTAAGCCTGAAATATTGCATTCACGCACCCTGGCATTCGTTGGGATCTTTCCGCGACTCTTTCGTCTGTGCACCTCCAACGTGGGCTCGCTGTCGCTGCCCTCTGCCTCGCCTTCCGAACTAAATTCCTCCTCTTCGTCGCTGAATTCCTGGCAGAGTCTTTCGTTGGGATCGTTCATCAGTCTTTTGTCGTGGTCGACCGGTTGAGAACTTAGAGCGACAACACTCACGCGTGCCAATGCGACCGAATGACCGCCGTATTTTTCCGCCTTGTCCGACACAAGTTCCAGTTCGAGGTCCATTTGCTTCTGCAGCACCTGTAGCATAGGTTGATTAATCAGGTCAATGCAATAAGAGCAAGTCTCGCATGTTAATTGTTTTTTTTTTGAGAAACATACACTACTATAAGAAAAAAAACAGGAACACTTTTTGTACCCTAAAGATTGAGCTATTTTCAAACCGCTGAAACTCGAGGAAAAATCATCGTAGACAAAAAATTAAAAAAGCATTTTGAAGTTTCAACTTTAAGGTGCAGTTGGTGGTTTTAAAAAATTGTTTATCTTCCATATTCTATAACGCTTTAAAAAAGAACACACTGTTTAGTTCCTTAAAATTATTTTTAACACGCCGCAACTTAATAAAAAAAATTTTTCTCGAGAAATTCAACTCAAGTTGTATAAATTACATTTTCCCTGCAAAAAGCTTTTTTGAAAATTTTCCTACGACTTATTTTGACCGAGTAATATGATTTTGAAAATAAACCTGAATTTTTTAGATACCTGAATTTTTTAGATGAAATTTTTCTCGAAAAATTTAACTCAAATTCCATAAACTACATTTTGCCTACAAAATGCTTTAAAAATTTTCCTACAATTTTTTATGACCGAGCTACATGACTTCGAAACCAACTTTCTTTTATGAAGAAAATTTAGTTTTAGTAAAATTTATGGATATTTGAGTTGAATTTTTCGAGAAAAATTTTTTTGAACTGCAAAATGTCAAAAATAAATAATAAAATAAAATAAAATAATAATTTTAAGGAACAAAACAAAATTCTTTTTTAAAACACAGAACCAGAAGGATAAAAAATTTTAAAGAATTAACGATAGATAGTTAAAGTTGAAGTTTTAAGTTTTAAAATACTTTTTTATTTTTTGTCTTTGATGATTTTTCGCTGAGTATTGAGATCATATCTAAAAAGTAATGGTTTATTTTCAAAATCATATTACTCGATCCGAAAAAATCATAGGAAAATTTAAAAAAAAGCATAATTTTTGTATGTAATTTGCAATTAACAATTCCATATTTTTTCTTAAAAGCAACTGTATGTTTTCTTTACACCAATTGATTCCTCTCATTATTTTGTACATAAAAGTATTAAGGTAAGATAATCGAAAAATGAATATTTTACAAGATATTTTATGGTTTATGTAAAATTAAGAAATGATTTCAAACCTCATAATTCAAAAAGTACTTGATGAAAAAATGTTTATTTATAGTGTTTTGGAAAGCTCTCGAGATAAGCTACAAGAATATGCAAAAATATATAAGATGTTCCATTTAAGAAATTCAAAATGACCTTCACGTAACCTTTATGTGACTCTTCAAGATCAAACTAATGGCACCATCTTATGTACCCCTAGAAACCATACAACTTTTGTCTGAAACATCTTTTTTTAAAATTCAAAATAAGAAAGTTATTGGGGGTGGGACATTAAAATGAGACACCCTGTATATCTCTTTTAATTATTAAATATTGCTTTAAGAGAATGCTAATAGTTATTATGATAGTTATCTCTCGGTCGGATAAACCAAAATTTTCAACTTACTTGGGCCATGTTAATAACTCCCTCCGCAAGAGTTTTGTATCCGAGCATCGTACGATTCTTGTATCGCTTTCGCCTCTGCAATAATATCAGGAGCTTATTGCCGTCCCTCTTGAGAAAATGCGGATACTGAAGCGCGAACTGCAGCTCCAATTCCGTATCGAGTATGCCTCCGGTCGGTATAGCCATCTCGTTGGATCGTAGGGTCCTTTTGGAGCTCTGCATCTTGACCGCGATGCTGATGGACGACAGATCCGAGCCGAGGGGCCGAAGTATAACTAAGCGCGTTAACGTCAAGGAACACAGCCTAAAAAAAAAAGCAGCGATAAATCAATCTCGAGTTATGCTGAAGTAAGATAGTATTTTAAAGTTCAAGGTTGATCCACACAAAAAGAGATCACCTTAGAGGAACAGAGATTCGAGCAAGAATCCAATCAATAGCGCGTGAAAATAGATTAGAAAATAGACCCTCTGAAGCTCCGTTCATACACTGAGAAAAAAATCTGGTTGTATCAATTAAAATTCTGCTGGATTCAACCAGTATGTCTGTTGGAAAATGGACGAATCAAAATTCTTGTAGGAATTACCAGAATGAATCTGATTAATTTCTTCCTGTTAAATTTACCAACTTTTCTGGTTAATAATACTAAACTCCCCAGCACCAAGTCGTCTAACATTTTTTCCATTTAACCTCAAGAGTCTGTTTAATATTCTGAATTCCAACAAGATTATTGGATAAATTCAATCCAGATTATTGAATAAATTATTTTAAATTCAGTTTGTTAGAAATTAAACTGATAAACAGTGATGCAAGAAGAGGATGCAGCTAAAAATATACTTTGGATTTAATGTTAATACTAGTTCTTTATATACATTTCATGCACTGAGAAAAAAATCTGATTGCATTAATTAGAATTCTGCTAGATTCAACCAGTATGTCTGTTGGAAATGGACGAATCAAAATTCTTGTAGGAATTACCAGAATAAATCTGATTAATTTCTTCCTGTTAAATTTACCAACTTTTCTGGTTAATAATACTAAACTCCCCAGCACCAAGTCGTCTAACATTTTTTCCATCTAATCTCAAGAGTCTGTTTAATATTCTGAATTCCAACAAGATTATTGGATAAATTCAATCCAGATTATTAATTATTTTAAATTCAGTTTGTTAGAAATTAAACTGATAAACAGTGATGCAAGAAGAGGATGCAGCTCAAACACAGGCAATCAGAGAGCTAGCGTCCTCTTTTTGGCACTACTGCTCGTAAGAGAAAAAAAATATACTTTGGATTTAAGGTTAATACTAATTTTTTATATACATTTTGTGACAAATATTGAATACGAGTTAAGTTAAGAGAGACTTGCCGCCTAGTGGAAAGCAAAGAAATTAATGTAACAAGAAATTTTATAGATCCAACCAGAAAATCCCTAATTTTCCTACCTAATCAATCCTAAAAATCCCAAAAAATCCCTAATTTTCCTACCTATCCTAACCATATCCTTATAGTAAAATCTATTAAACGTTCTAGTTATAAAAAATCGAGTCTTATCAACTAGAAATAGATAACTAGAAATTCTTGTTTGATTTAACCAAAATGCCTTCAATCATATACGTCTTGTTGATACAATCAAACGATTTTTCTCAGTGTACGAGGGTCGTTTGATAAGTTTGGTAAAAAAGCAAGTAAAACACATTTTTTTGGAAAAAATCTACGTTATTTCTCAACACAGCCTCCATTGAGGTCTATACACTTGGTCCAACGAGTTTCCAATTTTTTAATACCGTCGGAAAAATAGTCTGTCTCAAAGCCTGCGAAATACTCGTCGACGGCGACAACCTTCTCGTTCAACGAGAATTTCTTTCCACTGAACTAGATTTTTAAATTTGGAAACAGGAAAAATTCGCGCGGGACCAAATCCGGAGAATAGGATGGATGTGGAATTAATTCAAAAAAACCCAATTCGTGTAATTTTGCTAATTTTTTTTTTTTCATTTTTGTAACAACAATCAAACCACTCTCGCTTCATCAAATCAACTATCGAACGTAAACAACGCGTTACTTTTGCCTGAAATTTTTTTCAGAGGGGTACGAAAAAGGAAACTTTACAAGCAACAAATCATCAAATGAATTGCGGTGCAATTTCACAGAAATTTATCAAACTTATCGAACGACTCACGTATTTTAGCGTTAAACTACCCGAATTAGTCTCAGCGATATATTTCAAAGTAGAATATTGATCGAGCATTCGCAGTTCGAAAAAAATTGCAAGGCACATGAATTAATAATATCAATCGATGTAATTCCTTTCGAAGCTTAGGGGGACCGAGACTAGCGTGACAATTGAAACATCTACGAAATACGAGGGGCCGGCAAAAGCCCGTTGTACGTTGATGTAGTACGTGCATCGGATCCGGTCGCGTACTATCGTATACAGGGTGCTAAAAAAGTATCGCATACGCTCAGTGCCATCCGATAGAGAATGAGAATTTAAGAAAAAATGTCTAATAGTATTTTTCGATCCCATGAATAATTTCGCCGCAATTTATTACAATAATTAATTGCGGCGAAATTATTCATGGGATCGAAAAATACTATTAGACATTTTTTCTTAAATTCTCATTCTCTATCGGATGGCACTGAGCGTATGCGATACTTTTTTAACACCCTGTATAAAAACAAAAGTGTGATTTAGGTGCGACGAGGAGGCGGAGACAAATACCGCGGGTTATCGGGATTATCGTTTCTCGTCGAGCCACGTTGGATCAAAACGAGCGATCGCTGGTCCCGTTAAGCTTGCCCGATTATCGTAGGATCTCGCAAGGTTTCCGCATGGAAACATTAACACGCGGCTAAAATCGATCGTCAAATTTATCAACCCTCTTCTGCCCCCTCTCTCAAGCTCGAATTCTCCGCAATCCTCTCCCTTGCGATGCGCATTGCTCTGACGTCTGTCAACCGCTCCGGAAATTCCGCGATGGAAAGAATGGAATTTTTCGAAGGATCATTCGTCTCGGGAGCAACTAAAAATGTGAATAATAAATTGAGAAAATTTATTTTTTTAATGGACTTTCTATATTCGAGATGCGATCACCATTTTTTTGAATCTTAACACTTCGTGACTGAAGAGATGCAAGTAAGCATCGAAACGTCTCACTTTTTTTCGCTCTCTTAATAAATGCGACTTATTGACATTCTTTTTTTACCCTTTTTTTTTTTTTTTTTTTTTTAACTGACCTATCATCCACAGTTTAGCTCGTATCAGGCTGTGTATTTATTCTTAATTCGTATTAACGAGCTTTATTATTAAAGTATTTTAATTTATATTGAGAAAATTTACTTAGAAATGAAAATTTGCTTGGAAAAGAGCACGTTCTAAAATACTTAATTTCAGTAATGAAAGCTTGCTCAAGCGTGTAAATGAATAAACACGAGACGAATGATATGTGTCATAAAGGATATTTAATAAACGAATAATCGTGGAGCATTTCTATATTGATTTGTATTCCTCCAGCCACATTAAATTTCATAAATGAATAAAGTAAAACTCGCAACAAATTTGTAATATGAAAGAAAATCATATTACATTATCGTGTAAAGCTGATATTGTGCGATAATATGTAAAGAATAACAATATCGGCTTTTCGTGACAATGTAATGTGTTTTTCTTTTTCACATTATACATTTCCTGCGAATTATGTATGTTTCATCCATTTATGAAATTCAATAACGTGACTGAAGAAATACAAGTCAGAACGTTCCATGATCATGATATTTGTTTATTAAATTTTTTAAACACATCATTCGTCATATTTATTAATTTATACGTTCAAATATTTTTCTATTATTGGAATCAACAATTAAAAAGGTCTTTATTATTGGAATCAACAACTAAAAATTTCCATACAAAAAGAAACGAGCTAAATATATTAGCAACGACATTTTCCTCGAGGATATATAAAAACTCTTAAAATTCTGATGGAAGTTTTATATTAAAAAATATATATATACAGGGTGGCCTATTTTAATCCATCCAGTCGAATATCTCGAAAACCAAGCCTGGGAGAGAAAAATGTTTCAGACAAAAGTTGTTTGGTTTCGAGGGGGCCATAAGATGGTACCATTGATTTGACCTTGAAGAGTCATTTGAAGGTCACATAAAGATCACCTCAATTTTTTTAAATGGCACCTCCTATTTTTTATTACATATTCTTGTAACTGATCTCGAGAGCTTTCCAAAACGCTATAATAAAATATTTTTTTATTGAATACTTTTCGAGTTATGAGACTTGAAATCATTTCTTAATTTTACATAAACCGTAATATATCTAGTAAAATATTCATTTTTCGATTATCTTGCCTTAATACTTTTATGTACAAAATAATGAGAGAAATCAATTGGTGTAAAAAAAACACATAGTTGTTTCAAAGAAAAAATATGTAATTGTTAATTGCAAATTAACAATTGCAATGGCATCATATTATAGCTCCTTCGAAACCATGCAACACATGTCTAAATTTTTCAATATTTCGCTAGTTTACGAGAAAATTGACCGTATTGTTTAAACTGGGCCACCCTGTATATATATATACAATATATATATATATATATATATATATATATATATAATAAAAGAAAAAATATATAATAAAAGAAGTGAAATGTGGCATAGTAGATAGCGCACTATTCTACAAAACCAAAGGGCTACAAGGTCTCGGGTTCGATTCCCGATAGAACCGAAAAATTGTATACGCTCGCTCCTCTCTCGGAAGGTAATGGCAAATTACCGAGAAATTTTGCCATGAGGATCTCTTTAATCTAGCCATTTGGAATCTGCATTAAACTGTAGGTCTCATATACGCGTGATAATCTGGTGCGCAACACAGTATATGAAAGAGAGCTCACCACGTTCGAAAAATCGAACAAAGGACTGAGAAGGATAGAATAAAATAAATAAAAAATATATAATATATATTAAATAAATATATATTAAATAAATGTATATTAAATAAATATATATTAAATAAATATATATTAAATAAAATATATATATATATATATATATATATATATATATATATCAGTTCGTTGACGAAATCTCACATTGACACATCGTTTTATCTCTCGATTTCAAATTTAGTAGGGCGTAATGATCTTGCAAATGTGACTTGTGGAATTTACTACACTATGATTTATACCTATTATTTGATCTTATATACTTGGAAAGGACCACAACCATATGATCGAAACGTCGTAACAAATAAACAAAAAAAAATTTGTTGGCTAGCTTTAGTCGATTATTATTT